GCCTTTTAAGAAAAAAAAAAAAGACAAAATTCTTCAAGTAAACAAGAGAGATACAAGAGGAATAGCAATAACATGCAATGAACCAAACAAGAATACAAAGAATCAATTTTTTTATCAAAAATAAAGAATGAACGCATAGAAAACAAATCTGAATGCAATAACTAAAAGACCATGTCTAGATCTTACCTGATTATGAAAGAGCAGAAAGAAATTTATAGAAAACCTCAAAAAACACCAATTCAACTCAACTTAACTCAGCCTTGTCCCAATAAAATAGGGTCGGCTGCATGAATCATGTTCCACCATCCCATTCTGTCCAATGCCATGTCCATAGTTAAATTATGGACCCTCAAAATCATTTCCCACTACTTCAACGGACGTCCTTTATGGCCTGAACATTAGTCTAATCTGCAACAAACCAACTTAGTCCACTTCCTCATTTTATCACCTATTGGGGTTACTCCTAAAGCTGCATGTAGTAGTTTGCAGGAGGATTGTGGTCAAAACAAATGGAAAATGATGGGATGGGATGGGGTGGGGTGAGAAGGGAAAACTGGGTAAAAAGAGAGAAGAAAGTGTTTCTTTTTATGGAGATTGTTTGTATTAGACAAGCTTTCTTGATGTAACTCAAGTAACAAGAAAGAAAATAGAAAGCTCAAAAAGAAGTAAGAGAGAAGAGAGAAACTGGATAGAACTCTATCAATAAAAGATAGGTTACAAAGAAAAAACATAATTTGAGGACTCGCTCACCCAAGAGAGGATTCTCTCAACTCTCAAAAGAAAGTGTGTCTAATTTACAAGGAAGGACAACGAATCACTTCTCCTAGCTGATAGGTTAAAGCATTTTCCTTTGATGATATTTGGAGAAACAGGAAAGCAATGGCCAATAGCCATACAAGGAAGGACAAGGAATCTGCAGTGTGAAAGCCTCCGCCTGAAGGTTGGGCAAAGGTGAACTTTGATGGTAGTAGCCAAGGAAACCCAGGCCCATCAGGGATAGGAGGGGTGCTGAGAGATAAAGAGAGCAGCATTTTAGCATTGTTTTCAGGCCCTGTGGGAATAGGAGACTCTAATAGAGCTGAGATCTTAGCGGCTGTACAAGGTATTCAGATTGCAGAACAATTAGGAGTTCAACATTTGGTAGTTGAAGGAGACTCCATAATTGTTGTGGGATGGCTGACAGAGCCAGCTTCAGCTATGTGGCAATACAGATACTTATTGAGGAAAGTCAACTGGCTCACAAGAAATATGACAGTTACCCCTCTTTGGGTGGGAAGATCAGAAAATACTTTAGCGGATGGGCTAGCTAAGCAAGGGGCTTCAAGGGATCATTTATTTTGGGCTGCTATGTAATTTTATTTCTGTTTTTTTCCTGTTTTAATTTGATGTAATAATTTGTTAAAGAGGTAACAGCTCGTGCCTCTTCATGGGTTTCCTGTATTACCTTAATTTCTGGATTAATAAAGTATTTTCATTCATCAAAAAAAAAAATCCACTAACAATCTAGTTTTCAAAAGCCCTTAACAAACTAGCTGTTAGAAACTCACTAACCAAAAATAGTTGTTAAAAGCCCATTAGTGAGTTTAAATGTAAACCAACTTATTTTATCCTTTGAAAATGATCTGATGCACCTCAGAGCATGATATTAAACTGCATCACTTCTCCTACCTTCACACTTTTTCACACCAAAATAATGTGACCCCACTTTCCAAAATTGTGAACTGTAATCCTGGCAATTTCCTATAACACAAGAAGAGAACAAGAGTAAAAAATATTCCCTTTTGCCACTTCCCTTTCCCACAAACAGAACGCAGCCTAAATTCCTATTAATATGTTAACTTCTAATCCTATCTATTCTAGTTTTCCCACCCATCCATCTCCATTCATATTTCTGCTAAACTTATTTTTTGGACATTTTGTTTCTTGACTGCCCAAATCTATGCCCCATGTAGCATCTTTGTCCTTGTAACCATTTTATAGAATTTTCCTTCTTAGCCTAAGTGGTATCTTCTCCCACCAGATAAGATGACAAGACTGTGGACCCACTCCTCCATTTTGTCAATCCATCTCCAATTCTACATTTTTAGTAAATAGAAATAAATTTTATTAAAAATAAGAAAAGGTGCAATGTTAGAAAGGGTGATGAGCTAGCACCCCCAGTCCCCCACAACACAGCAACAACACAAATCAATAAGAACATCATTTGGCCATCAATACCTTCTGCTATTCCTGGTTTTCTTCAAACAGTCTTCTAATCCTCTCCTTCCATAAGCACCAACATATTGCAAAAGGGATCCAGCTCCCAAAAATTCTGGCCTTCTTATTTCCTTGAATGAGACTTAACACTAGGAGAAATATCCTGCTGAACCTCATCCTTGTTATGATTTATCAAATCAAGGTAAAGACAAAGGTTACCTTGAGATATCTCTCAATATCAATCTTAGTTGTAACCCAATTAGCAGTCCAATTATTTAACTTACATTGCATATATTTTTAGTCCTACTTATTTTAAAACCTCTTATTTCTACGTCATCTATCCATAAAATTAATTTTGAAGTTAATCCATCTCTAGTTTCATCAATTAATGCCATGCATTGACAAACAATATACACCATGGGACCTCCTAAATATGCTTACAATTCATCCAGAATTACTGCAGACAAAAAAGGGGCAAGCGTCAAGCCTTCATGAAATCTCACTATAACTACAAAATACAAATTCTAATGTCTCACCCACAACTGTTCTAACATTGATCCAGATGCCTATTTAGCATTCCTTTCATTTCCAAAACCCACCAATATTATCTCTCTAAAGACTCTATCATATGATTTCTTTAGACCAATGAAGTACAATATGAATATCTCTTTTCTTCTATCTGAACTTTCTTATCAATCCTCTCAATGAAAAGATGGTTTCCATCAGTTCCATGGTTGATCTCCCTAGCATAAAACCAAGTTGGTTTTCTAATTTACATGTTTCATGTCATAACCCCTGCTCAATATCTCCCTAAGTTTCATATTGTGACTCATGAGTTTAATCCCACAAAGGCACATTTGTTAAATGGGTGTGGGTAAATCCAATTCCTCCAAGGATTCAAGCATTTGCATGGTTATTATAGATGCATAGTATTCTAACACTAGAACATATACAATCAAGAGATCTTCAGCTACCACGCATTGTGTCTATTCTTTTCTTTTCTTTTCTTTTTTTCTTTTTTTTTATAGATAGCTACCAATAGGGATGCAAACAGATCAGATCAGATTCGAATCAGGGTATATCTGAATCCAATCCGATAGCACATATCCGAGATCCGATCCGATCGGATCTCACAAATGGTGATTCAAATCTGAATTCGTTAAGGATATCGGATATCCGAATCTGATCTAATCTGATTCAAATTCTGAAAATTTTAATAAATTATTAAAAGAAAAAAAAAACATAACAGTTTATATAAAGAAAAACAAAAATAGAAGTATTTTTTTCAACCATTTTCATCATATATATTAATTTATACATGTCTTTTTATAAAAAAAGCAATATAATCATTTATAAACAAATATGTTTATACATATATTAATATATACATGTATTTTTATAAGTAAATATGTTTTTTTATAATTTTTTATAAGTAAATATGTTTATAAATATATACATATATATATAGGTCGGATCGAATAGGGGTGATCCTAATTCAATACGATTTTCAATCAGATCCTATTATCCGATCCAAAAAACCGACAGAGGGTTATCTGAATACAAGAAAAAATAGGATTGGGTTCAGACCGGATCGGATCGGATCATGATCCAATCCATTTGCACCCCTAGCTACCAAGCATTTGTATGATACACAATGATCATAAAGAAGATGCAACACTGCAAAATTTGCCTGGTTGATCTTATCCTCATTGTTTGAGACTGCAAAACTGGTTTTATCTGAGATAAACGAGATATTCACTTTGTCGCCTAGGATTGTATGTGGTCAAAAAGAAAAAAAATTGGAGCATCATCCCCAAACTCTTGTGCTGCACTAAACACCTTTAAGTTACTCAGATAAATTAAATATTGTTTGCATGTAAACTGAATTCAGAATAATAACCTCCACGGTTAGTGATGCAGAGTGGCCATCTTTGGAAGATATTACAAGAAAATAGTTTAATATACTATAATTTGTGAACAGTGAAGAGCCAAAAAGCAGGTGGTCTAATCAGTAGTTTCTCTGAACAGAAAGCTTCTGGCAAAATTGACATAAATTGGTTTAACAAGGATAATAACAAGTCCTTCAATGAGTTAAATCACTAAAACTAGGTAACCACATGTATTTACATAAAAAAAGGCATGTTAATTTCTTGTCTATCAAGGCTCATAATGCTAGCATTACTATTGGACTAACTCCTCATCCATTGTAGGACATAGATTTATTGATAGTAAACACAGAATATCGCACCGGAACTCAAAATTCATGTTTTAGAAAATGGGTATCTCTCATTTGGTCATAGATTAGCTGATTTCATCATCTGATGGTACATGGCAACTGAAACACTTTGTAACCGAGCTAAATCCTTGGCAACAAAGCCTAAGAACGGGCTTCTCTTTGGCTAGGAAGGATGAAGATCAAGGTTGCCTCTCAGGCTGAGATTCGCTGGATGATTACATCATCTGATGGTCTATGGCAACTGAGACATTTCATAATCCATAACGACAAGAACAACAACAAAAACACTCATGTTCAAATGGACTGGAAGCCAGCTAATTACCATAGCTTACTCGAGGAGTAGGAAGAACGTCTATGTACATGGAGACATCCGTTCTGGGTTAGCAGTTTCTTTGTTTTGATCAGTACTGGGTTAGCGGTTGTTGGTCAGCTAAATCTTGTTTCCTAGTAAGGAAATGGTTTATATCCTTCTTCCTGCACTCGTTGTGCATTGATAGAACAAAAGTGACTGACGAAGTTATTGAATAAAATGGAACCAGAAACTGTCATCAGAATCCAAAATTAATACCTGGAACCCTTTCAAGGAGGAAATGAGACCGACGAAGGGCGCCTGCAATCTCTTTTGGATTACTTAGCCGAATCAGATCACTTAGATCATCATTTCCAAATACAGATGGAACACCAAATGATCCAATAAAAAGAAGCAACCCTCGGGCATCAATGCTGTTGGCATTCGCTACACCACCCTCATTGACGAGCCTCTTTCTCCAAGCAATTGCCGCTGTCTCGGCTTCATTCTTGACCGATTCCTCGATCTCGTTCTCTGAACATCCCGCAACGAGAAAGAACTCCAAGAGAAACACCGACGCCTGCCGCGCTGGAACCATAGGCGAATCTTTGGTGTAAGCTTTGCTTCCCTGGAGATAAAACCGTCCAATGCAGTCCAATACAAGTTTGGCCGGGTTCGCCGCACGCTTAAGCGCCGCAGGAGCTTCTTCACGGAGTTTGGCAATATCGGCTAGATGAGACGCAATATATTTGCGCAAACCCCGGTTTCCCGTGGAACAAAGGGACTCGAGCTCCGAGCCTGAGTTCTTCGACGTCCCGTCACTTGGCGAGGAATCTTGTGTCTTATCTCCCACCGGCGAGTTGGCAGAGTCGGGAGCCAGCGATTCAGAAGCACGAGCGTCTGTTGCAGGAGCAACGACTTGTTGCGGTTGTTGCTGATGAAGTTGGGGGGTGTTATCGATGCCGAGCTGTTTGAACCTGGCATCAATTGCCGTTTGGATGGAATCGAGATGTTTCTGCAAGTCATCCCAGCGGCGCTTGAAGGTGGTTAGAGTGGACGAGAGAACGCGGAGCTCATTTATCGACTCCAGAAAAGAAGGGTTTTCTTGTTTTTCATTATTGGTCGCTGCTGCGGCTGCTGGAGTTGGCATTCGTGTTGGTGCTGGTACTAGCGCTAATGGCCCTGCTTGTTGGGTCTCGAGCGGTGATGATGTTCCCATGGGCTCGTCTTCTTTTTCCTGCTTCAGGGATTGAATTTGTGTTGGGGCAGGATCTATTTCCTGCTTCACGACTGGAACGGAAGAGGGAGTGGAATTGTTCTTGGTCATGATAAGCCACGGACAGAAAACCCTAAACAGAGTCTAGGCTCCAGAGTTCAGTTCCAGTCTTCCAGATTGTCTTTCTCCTCTTCTCCTGAGTCTATGGGAAGCCCAGAGCATCGCCGCTCCGTTTCGATGGTTGACCTGTTTGCGGTTCAGTTTGGTTTAAGTTAAGACCAGTCGGGAGTCGAGACTCGTACAATGCACGGATTTATTAAAAAAAGGGTAAAAGTAAAATATAAAAGCCTCCAAATTTCAATTTAACAAAAAGGAACTCCCCTCACAAGGCTATGTTTGTAAAGCTCCCTATCTTTCCCTTCCTTTTCCTACATTTTCCTTCAAACTAAATATAGCCTAAGGTCTATTTAAGATGGAAGAGTAACAAACATACCAGACTAAATGAATCGAGCTGGAAGGACAAAGTGGTACATTGAGTACAATTTATAAGAAAAGCAAAATTAGAGGCCTTGAAGAGTTGTTGGAAGGGTTAGAAATTAGATTAAATATGGTCAAACTAAGTTTAATGGTTGGTCGAATATTTTAAAATTTTTCTAACTCCATTCGGGAGTCGATTTCTTGGTAATTTTGAAATCTGAAATTTCAAAATCGATCTTGCATTGAACTGAATCAGATTTAAAATCAAATTAAAAATTGATTATACGAAGCCCACAATATGAAAGTCCATGAGTGAGTTCGTGCCCAATATCAATCCCAAAATCAACTTCCAACTAAAGATAGCGTAGTGTGTACATGAAACCGATTCAGCAAAAACTAGTCTCCAATTTGCTTGAATTGAATTAGGTATGTGAACCTGATATCCTCTCATTTTTTTCTTACAAAAACACAATAGATGACTGATGGAAATCAGCCTCCATCACAGATGGGTCGAATTAGAGTTCCTAAGAGGCAAAGGGAGAAGAGGAGATAACAATATAATGAATAGAATTGGTGAATTCATCCCTCCCTTAGGAGTTGATTCAAATTAAATTTTAATTAGGGCATTACCATTAATTGATAAGAACTCTCTTGTTAAGAGAATATGTGCTTCATGCCCAAATCCATGCTCATTTTCAACCAAAATAAGTTGTCATGTGATAACTTAATTAATCATATTAATAATGGGTCATATGCCCATTTTCTCTAATGGTTCACGCCCTAAAGTGTTGCATAACCACTTTAAGCATGAATATTCTATGGTATGGGACCCATAAAGGTTTCACATTAATCTATGAGGATTCGGCCCTACCTCTGGTATAGGTTATGTTGAATTCACTGCTTAAGGGTAGTAAGCCCCTAAACCTAATCAACTTGGGCTTAGTTTGTGCCCAACATTTATACATAAATGATCATTTGATTCAGCCATCATATAAAAACCTAATGATAATAGACTTATGTAAAATAAATCCAATTAGGTAATCAGCTCTGTAATGATCTCTTGCACCTAACCTTTCGGCCCATAATCATCAAAACACTACCTATAGGGAAGGATATCTTCCCTAACTACGAAATGCAATGCCACACTCTTTGTTATAATGGATCCTAAGATTAAAATCTTTTTCAAACATTTTTTCATAAAATAATAATATAACATATAAATATATTTTGCAAATTAGATTTTAAATACAATTGAAATCCACAGTCAGTAGTTTAGGTTCCTATCAAAGATGGTGTAAACCAAAATATTTACTTTGTCTAACAAAGGAGTCGATTCTATCACTATAATCACCCACTCAGGTAATTTCCCAAACTGCCCCAACATGCCTAGGTATTTGACCCTTAATGGTCTCACTAGTTGAAATATCAAAAATAGTCTAATCCACAACCTATTGTAGTATCATAGTTAAGTATGGAGTTAAGTGCAAGTTTCCAATTTTTGCCCATCTATTTCCAAGGTATATGACAGTAATTGGAAATTGGTCAAGGTTCAGTGTTTTTCCTAAATACCCATTGGCTGTGCTTGAAGTCTAACATTAGCAATTGAGACAATTTGCTCTATCAATTCGGTAAAACACTAATGTCAGCCTTGTCAAGATAAATTTTCCAAGTCTATCCAACAGCTGAGAATATTATAAAATAACACAAGTATCGGAAGTGTTTAGTTTAAAGAATAATTCACAAAAGCACACCAATAAGAACATGAAACAATAATATACTTTATTCATTTACTGATAGATGTTTATGTACATCAATCTGATTGGAGCTAAGGGCATACATTGCCTAACAAGTTTCTCATGGAAAAACATTCCAATGCTCTAAGTCAGTAGAGGATGAGAAGGTTGGCTAGGCCAAGCTATTGAGGGTGAATTGGTCTGAGCCGAAAATGGATGAAGAGCAAGATAGCAAGGGCGTAAGGGCTAGAATATTGAGAGTGAAAGAAAGTCTTTGAGCAGCTCTGCATTCCTCATATGGTTATCAGTAGTGTGCGAGCTGCCACGTGCCTTGTCTCCATCCGGGTTTCTTGCTAGATGGCATGACCATTGACTTCGACGTGTAGCACTTTGCATTGCTCATGTGTCCAAGGACATCAAACTACCTCAAGCCACGTTAGCATCCATGTGGTGAGCAAAGAAAGTCGGGGTACAACACTAACACTTTTCATATTTATTCCAATAATGGAGACTTAAACTTTATGAAATTGTCCCTTACAACTTATTAATTAATCTTTCAATATAATTCAAAATTCCATATTTGTCCTTTTACACCATCAAACCTATCACTTTTTGTAGCAAAAATACTTTACTACTCTTTTAATAAAAGTTAAAAGTTATTATGAGGGTATTTTAGTAATTTTTCATCTGAATTGGTAGATATAAGGGTAAAATGGGTAGTTATGAAAAACTAATTCATTAGGCCATCGTTTTATGTCTAGGATAATAATAAAAGGGAGTTAAATGCAGGGTTTTTACAAAATTATATAGGAATTTTTTTTAAGTAAAATATTAGGGCAAGTTTTTATGATTATTAGAAAACTTAATGCAAGGGAGTTTTAATTTTTATATTTTACCATAGCAAAAACCTCCCACATAGTTTTTTTTTTTTTGGTAGAAACCTTGGTGTGCTACACAAGCCGAGGGGTAGCACTTCCCCTTTAGTCTTGTAAACAAATGCAAACTAAATCATGAGGAGCATGGTCTAGACCAAAATCAACCTATCCATTATTTGATGAGAGTGCATGTTTTCTAACCAATCAGTAGCATGATTTGCCTCCCTATATACATGCTTGTAGTGAATATCCTCATTTAACCGCTTCTTTAGCTCTAAGCACTCTTGGATGATGTTCCTCAAATGCCACGGGGGATTGGAGAGAAGCTTGAGACACGAGATTGAAAAGAATGGTAGGATCCACCGTATGGATGCCAAAACTGTTGCGGAATGGGTGGGCGAATTTCAAAAGTTTCCTACCTTCCTTCCAATTGGGAATCGCATTCCCTAATTTTAGAATCAAAATTCAAAGATCCTACTTGAACCAAATCAGACCAGATTTGAACCAGAAGAGAAGGGAGTGATTATACCTGATCCAGAGAAGTAGTATCCCCAACGTTGGTGTTCACGCCCAAAGAAGATCCCAAGATCATCTCCCACTAAAGATGACACATTGATGATGGAGCCGAACCAGCAGTGTTCGTCCCACAAACTAGGTTCTTCTGAAGAACTCGATGGAGGACTGTGAGCACCACACGAACAATCAAGAACCTTTATTGATTCTCTCTAACTGAGAACTCGAACTGGCAGAAAGGGTGGCGGCGGCGGCTGCTGGAGGAGAATGGTAGAGAAGAAGGTGGTGAATTGCTATTTTCTTCTCTAGGGTTATCTGAGATCCTATCTCAAGAATGCAGGTGGTCTGCTGAAAACACCTAGGGTTCGAATTCAAGTAATTCAAAATTAGGGTTTTTCTCCTCTTTCTTAGTGATTAAGAAAACCTCCTAATCATATTAGGAGTTGCCCTTATCCAAATCAGTATTTGGGTTATGACTCCTCTTAATGTTATATGCAGATTAGATCAGCTTTTGGGCTTAACCTAATCTCAGATCTGCCCCCTTAAGTGACTGATCAAATCAGCCCAAATCGAAATGGACTTTAGGCCCAATATGTATTAAGTGCTCAAAACTCTTCTAAACTGCTGCACAATTGGGCTTCTTTGTGTGGCGTGGGACCCAAGCATTGATCTACACATCAATCACATGGGTTCGGCCCAGCCTTTGTTACAAGGCCTATTCAAATTCACTGGAAAACCCAGTGAACCCCCTAAGCCCATCACATGGACCCCACGGGCCCAACACTTACACTAAATGGTCCCTGGGCCAAGCCATCTTATAAAACCAGGGATTGTGAGCAGTTGCAAGATTAGCCCACCAGGTATTATCCTTAATGGCCTTACACTTAACCTCTCAGCCCATAATGATCAAGCACTGCCCAACAAGAGAGGACCTCTCCCTCGGTTGCAAGGAACAGTGCTGCACTCTCTACTTACATGGATCATGGGAATTAAAACCATTTCTAAACATTTTGAAACCATATGTAAGTATATATCATATATATATAAATTTTGCAAAACAAAATTCCAACGATTGAAATCAATTGTCGGCAGTTTGGTTTCCATCAAAGAGAGTGCATCCCCGATCATTACCTTTGTCTGACAAAGGGGTTGATCCCGTCACTATGATCACCCACTCAGATGAATTCTCAGACTGTCCCAACATACCCAGGTTTTGACCCCCGCTAA